TCAGGATGTTCACATAATTCAAATTTTGTTGTAGATTGCTTGCTGCTGCTGCTGCTGCTGTTGCTGCTGCTGCTGCTGCTGGTAGCTGCTGCTGCTGCTTCTGCTGCTGTACTATATGGACATTTAAGCATAACATGTGTATGTAGAGAAGAATTAGGACAAAATATATGTATATGATGAATATTTGTCTGTATACCTTCGTAAGGATTATAAGGATTTATAGGTATCCACGGTGTTGTATCATCAGTTATATCCTTATTAATTAATAAATTATTATTATTATTTATTTTATTATTATTTATATTATTATTATTATTTTCTTGTTCTTTTTGTTGTTGTATTTCTTCTTCCTCTTTATTAGAAAAAAATAATTTATTTTCTGTAGATAATACATTTTGTAGACATTCTGTTGTATCTGCTTCTTCTTCCTCTCCTCCTCTTCCTCCTTCTTCTTCTTTTTTTCCCTCTATAAAAGAAGAAGAAGAAGAAGGAGGAGTAGCAGCCTTTAATAATTTAATAAGAAGACGCTCTATTTCTTCCTGAGGGTCATGAGGTTTCTTAAGTTTAGCAGCAAACTTGAATAGACGACCACGAGATCCATGACAAGAAAGCGGTAACAATTTGCAAGGATTAAAGGAAAAAAATACATGTTTATTTTTATGTTTATGTAATATATTCTTTTTTTTATTCATTTCTTTATTCTTATCTATTGATGGACCAAACATTATTGATAATATACTCCTAAAAAAAGGAGGATACTCATCTAATTCAAATAAAGGTTCTGCTGCCTTACAAGTCCAACCCATAGGAGGTGCATCTTGTACTATTTCCTTTAGATTATATGTTGCTGTTGCATGCAAATTTGGATAATTCAGTACAAGAGATTTATATGATCTACAAGTAGCAGATTCCCACGAAGGATTATTCATCGATTGTTCAGAAAAAGAAGAAAAAGAAGAAGAAGGATTCTTTGTTTCTTTCTTGTCATCTCCAATGCTGTCTAGATCATTCTCTATACTAACGAAAGAGGTGTATGTATGGGTGTCAGGACCCTTTAAATCACATAAAATAGGAAGAGGATTAAGAAGGAATATTAAGAAAATAGGAAGACCAACCAATACTGCTGTGCAGCCCAAACTTGAACGAATGCGCCACCGGGCCACCATGCTGATTGCGGTCACTCTGTCTTTGTCATAAACACAGGATGCTTCCTGCCTCAACTGCTGATAATTATTCTTTAAAATGTTAAAGAAAACAGTTTGATCAATCCACAAGAAATGAAGCAATCAGGTGGTTGAGGGTATGGTGACGGAGAACACAACCGACAACTGCGGAGTGTATGAATAATGGTGGCAGTTGCGACTTGCGGTGGCCAAGAGAACGGCAATAATTATAGATTATCCAACTATACAAAACAACAGCAAAACACTTTTTTCAAAAATATATTCCCTCCTATCTGTATATTGGCTCGTGTAGGAGAGGATGGTTGTACAACGCTGCGTTATGGGACCAATGGACGACACGTCGGTCAGCGCCTTCTGAGCTTCAGGGAAGCAACAAACGTTATTCTGAAAATGCATTAAAATAAGTATATTTATTTATATTGTTTTCATAAAATACTCAAAAGGAAGAGGACTGCAAGCTATAGAACCGGCAGCGCCTTGACATGTCTGGCTTCCTTCGTTGCCAGTTCCCTCTGAACAGTGCACAGTAGTACAGTCGAGTGTCACGACGTTTAGCCCTGTGTTAAATACCTAATCCGTACTTTTAATCCTGACACTTTAGAAGTAAAACAATAATATTTCAGATAAAACAAACTTGTTTAGAATGTCGGTAATATGGTGTACGCGCAGCCACATCTTTCTAGCTCTCGCTCTTCTCAGGGCAGGCCTTGCACAGACGTAAAACAGAACAAGAAACATAGAAAGTCCTTAGCCGTAAATAATCTTGCTAGGGATTAGTTGGAATGAATTCGTGTACTATTAACTTATTAGTCGTGCAGAAAAAAAAATGGTCGGGCTACGGTCCTCTCTTCCATAGTGAAGACGATAACATCCTTCCGCTGGCTGACGAAGGGAGGCCATCTGCATAACTCCTTCGATAAGAAGGGCAAGGAATGCAAATTGGCCTCATAATGGCTGACTAGTGAAACCTTCGGACTCCAGAAGTGGGATTCAATGACGATCCTCCAACGCCTCCACCACAAGGAGCTAATGTGTACAGAAGTTACCCATAATAGGAGGCAGAGAGCATGCAAAGGCAGCTTGCTCCATACTTCTGCATGGATCAGCGGTGGTACGCTTATAGAAGCTATACTATTGGCTACTGCAGCCCTCTTGCTCCCCTCTGCAACACATCTACACAACTGCAGCAGATGGCTACAAGAAAGCGCAGTACTGTTGCACCTCTACCATCTATACTCCCATTCAGCATATTCCGTTACCGGCCCCTCCAAAAAGATCTAGAGGTGCCCAAATTGCGAAGCCTCTTGTGTTTACCCCTGCCCTCACTTGCAACTGCCTACACCCTGATGGGCAACTACGAATGGCACTGGGAGCTGCCGGCACCGTTGTCCTGCACCGTACAGCACCCTGCATGCCATTTACCCTAAGCAGGTACCTAAAGAAACAAGATAACATCCACGCACACTACTTAAAATGCGTCATGGCGGGAGAGAAACCCTAAAAGCAACTCACGCGAAGTCTTATTAAGACGTACGCTGTAGGCAAAGTTTGTCGCCCAACCGCGCAACAACCTGTAAAAATATAATACTCTTCCGTTAGCTCGCCTCTTGTGGCAGCAACGCGTACTATGAAGCAGGAAGCAGCTCCTCATGCTTCTGTCTGCTTACCGCAGACGTACGCTCTCGCCACACTGCTGCGCACTAACTTGTAAATTGAGTATTCCTTCGTTAGCGCGCCTCTGGTTACGCGCATTATTAAGCAGGATATGGTTGCGCGTGCATCCGTTGGGTCGACTGCTCCCTCCGCAATAAGTTAAAACTATACTTGGTAGCAATAAAGCCCCACCTCAACTCCATCAAGCAGTCACCACAAAAAAAATTTACTCGGTGCTGCAACATTAAGATTCTTTCTTAATTATTAAGATTCTTCCTTGGTGGGGCACACCGTATATACCTCTGGGGAAAAGGCGCCATCGCGGTGGCCCCATAATGCGGTACACACTGCCCATACCTGAGAACTTCCGCCCTTCAGGTTACGCTGAAGTAGACAGCGTGACGTTGAAACTCCTGTACCAACACTCCTTATCAAACAAAAGCCTAGTATAAGGCACTTAATATACATAAATATATGTATGGCGGTCATCCAAAGACAAAACTTTCAGTAATAATAAAGCACTGCCTGGTGGAGAGCATCCCTTAAACTGCAGCATCGAAGCTACCTACCACCACACGATGGGGTGGGAGTGCCGTAGATTATGTGGTCATCGCCTGCATATCACGGTAGCACTCCACGCTGTAGCTTCGATTTCAGTCCTCGCCCTATCTGTTGGACAAAGATTCTCCTTTACACTTTGACGGCTGCCGATGAAGTTCTGCGTAACACTCTCACTAGCAGCATGCGACGCTTTTCTTCTGGCACTTCAGGCCATATCCCTACAAAAAAAAACCTTCCGATGCCCATCTTCCAGGAAGGGCTCAAGCTAGAAGGAAGCCAAGAGGCTGCGGCATTGCCTTAGGCTACGGAAACTCTCGACTGCCGCATGTGTACCTGCTTCCGTTTGTAACTTGCACGAACTTTTCGTTCAATGTCATCAACGGGGTCTGAGACGTCAAATGTTGGCTGCTCAACGCCTATACCACCGTTGTCGTCACCTGTATTTATTGCACCTGGGGCTACAAGTGCCACGAACTCCAGAAAAACCGCAGCCAACTCACGCTCCTCCATACACAATCCCAAATAGCTGTTCTGCGCCTCTGCAACCACCTCCATCCTAATGGTGCTAGCGCATACGGCGTAGCAGTGTGCCAAGACTCTTCGAGCCCCTCCTGCTGAGTCGAAGCATGAAGCCGTCTGAGACTTGAAACTTCTCCGCAGAACCCTGCGTTTACCTCTATGGGCACCTGAGTACTGCCATACTCCGTCTCTTAGCGTTGCCCCCACATTTCCTTGGACCTGCTGGTGGGACGGTCCGCGCAGGGGAACATCGCTGCTCGGCACGTCAACGGCCTTCTCCCCGCCACAGGCTCCCCAAAGGTGAGGCAGTAGCGGACGGCTGTCTGCCGTACTGTTGTTGCTGGACAACTCTTGCGCAGCGCGCTGCGCATCTCCACATCCACTAGAAACGAAACCCTCGAAGCTATCACAAGGAGAGGACAAAAGTGAGGCAAGTCTTGTAAGTCTTTCATTCGCCTCCCTTGAGTCATTTCCGTTTTCTACACGGAGATCGCCGGCAACGTTTGGTTCCATCGGCGCTTCTATCTTTTTATTTGTATTTTCTATTATACGTAATAGTGACTCTTCTGATGCCTTGGAAAAATACCATTCCCCCTTTATAATGGCGTCCAACGTAACTTGTGCTTGCGAACACCCCATGTCTAATGCTTCTGCTATTTTTTGGTTTCCCCCCGAATGGAGCTCATGATTTGACTCTCTATATCCATGCCAGAAAGGCTCCGCTGCAAATTCCTTCAGCTCAAGTTGTACTCCATCATCCATACAGCCCGACGGGACACTTCCGTGTTTGAAGATATAGATAGGCGTGGGTGCCCCAACACAACTGCAACCCCCAGCAGCTTGATCACCGCTGCAGCAACCTGTACGCAGTCCCCCTTGTTGTTGAAACGGGACAGATGAATCGCTAAGGCTGGATTGAAGCGGAGACGTTTGACGCGGAGGGCTAAGTTCTGTGCCGACGGCTTCCACGCCGGTGCACAACGGAGTTTTCTCCGGGTGGGTGCCAAGACCTGACCCTTCGGGAGTTGGGGGCCACGCCTGATAAACAAATGATGACTTTGTGCTTCCGTGTAGCTCCTCGCTTTTCTTCCTCTGCTCAAGCTTGCAGTCCGGGCAACTGCTCACGTCACCTGACCCACCCTCCACATGCCTAGAACATTTTGAAGCTGGAACACTCTTCAGCTTGGAGCCGTCTGAAGAACGATCCGCGAGAGTCACTATCACACGCATTAACACATAACGAGATCTCCACCACCCGCTGCATGCCCGGCTCTGCTGCTTCCGGCAGTGCTGACAACCAACTCCGCCGACTGCCATCGTTGGCAAACCCTTGCACACGACTGGTGGCCTATTCCGAACACTGACGTGACTGACTTCTGAAGCAACCGCCCTGACAACCCCAGTATGGGAACAAGAGTTGAGCGTAAACGCCTCCCACTCCTCTCGCACCACATACATAACCGCTCTTAATTGACTCAGCTCATTGCTCACGCCTTCCACTTCTACAGACTTTCCATTCACCCCCTCCAAAGCCTTCTTGCGAGCTTCCTCAAAGTCGCACTGGCGTAGGCCCCAGATATGCTTGAATGCCCCCCGAGCGAATAGGTCTGCGTCGCATCTATCCCCCACCATCTTCTGACCACATTCCACTCCCGGTTGCAACAAACGTGCCTCCCGCTCGTTATCCCTGTTGACGGCAGCTCTTGCAGAAACTCTGTTGGAAGGAGAAGCTACGACACTTCCCCCTGATAATTCCAACGGCTTCCCTGTGGAGGCACTGCCCGCGTAATCATCTCCCCCCTTTGTACACCCACTGCCACCCCCTTTAGAAGAACTGAGAGCAGCCTGCGCGGAACTGACAGCAGCTACGGAATCGTCATACAAGCTCTCAATGGAGTTTTTCATGAATAAAATCGCGCAGTTTGGTGGCAGGACTGGGAGCAGACGCCGCACCAAATCCTCTCTCGATGGCAGCACACCTGCCGTGAAGGGTCCTTCATCCGTAATGTGCATTATTCTCTCCAAGTAGAGCTTATTCTGCTCCGGCGGAATGTCCGTGTGGAATGATTCCCCCTCGTCCGAAGACCCCACCGTGTGTTGACCACCACTATCTCTGGTTGCTGGAGCTCGCGCCTGCCATGCCGACGAACCAGCCTCTACGTCCCGTCCAAGCTTGCCTCGTTCCTCCATGTTTAGGCCAGATGTCGAGAGCTCACCTTGAATCCCTACCCGACGATGTTCCGCTCGCTCAGTTCGGTGAACAAAACCCCCCACGAATCTCTGAGAAGTCTTGTCATCGTGGTGGGTAGGAAGTTCCCCACCTCCCGACGATACAGCCTGCACACAAGTAGACTCGAGGATCCCATCTTGAAATAGACCGGAGAGACAGCTGCTGTGCACGTACATACATCAGTTCATCCGCTTACCCGCAGTGATCCACAATAGCCTGGTCCGTTCAACATAACTGGATCCATCATTATGCCGCTGACAGAGCATTCCGTACAATTCGCCGCAGTCGTCTGAAACCGCAGTCTACATTCGCTAGGGATGCACCCGCGGGCTGAGCCTGGATTATCTCCACGGTACGATTCAACTTCCCCCACCCAGCCTTGACGCGACTTCGTCGGATGGCCTGCCGCCTCCACCACACCTCCTGCCGCGAAATCTGCCGCATGGACAACCAGTCGCTCATCTGCCGGGGTCTCACCTTCAGCACCCCTGCGGAATGGCTGAGCTGACGGCGATCTCACCTTATTCATCACCGACTTCCTCGAGGGCGAAGTGTCTGAAAAGAACATCTGCACACAAGAACACAGAAGAAGCTACCGCCTGTGCGTCCACAATCATCATGACGGTCAACCGCCATCTCGGTAGTCGTAGTAACCGGATTCGTAGCTGTCTGTCCAGTCTTTATAGTACCGCCTCCAAACGCTGTTGGCTTTTTGTTATGTTCACCTACTTCTCTCGTGTCCTACGTCCTAACTTTTCAAACTCACTTCCGGGGGGACGGGAGGAGACGTAAAAGAGACGGCGCGTTGCCAGTGGCCAATGCTTTGCGATGCGCAAAGACGATCTGCCTATACACCTAGGGTCCCTTATGCGCTTACACTAGGAAACAATAGAGCGAAGTTCTGAAGTTCTGTGCTGCCCTCACGCGAGGCCTTACTGAGCACAGCTCACGCAAGAAGTTGGGTCCCCACCGGGTTTCTCCACGGCCCGGCACAGCCCTTGATCCAGATCAAACTTTAAAGTCAGGCGTATATCTTAATGACAGTTATGCCCAGCGACTAACCCGGAGACAATACGGATCATCTGGGGTGGCCACGCCGACCAGACCTGACCACTCTGACCGACAATACAGTACGGTAGGCCCCAGCTTACGCAAGTAGTACAACTCAGCACGTGCGAACTCAGTATTTTGTGTAAATGCGTACGCGATTATAAAATCAGCTTACACTCTGAACCGTACCAACGGACCACCGGATGGCTGCACCGAGGAAGACAGGAAGGTGGTTCTTCTGCAGAGCAGGGAGTGGCGCGGTGGTGGCGCGGTGGTTTTGCAGACAAAAAGCCGCTGCACACACGCTCGATTCGATATTCTTGTGAGAACTGAACCCAACCCACAAGAAGGTTCCACAAGATTGTCTGACTGCGAAGCTTTTAAGGAAATGGCATGGATGGGGGAATACCCACGGCAAGGTTGCTCGGATACCGGCGGTACTACAAACCGGATCAACGAGACAGCTCAGCAGCAAAAGTCCAATATAAAACCCCGAAACATATGCTTAGTGGCTGTGTACATATTTGTAACACTCAAAAAAGCAGGTGCAAGCCTACTGGAGGCCAGTGGAACGCACAGGTGGGGGAGAACGAAGCCCACAAAAACACCAATAGAAACCACACATTCAAGCGATCCATACACCTCTATATAGCAATGACACATAAAACAACCTGTAAGAGGCACTATAAATAGACAAGTCGATCGTTAGCTGAATCATGTGAAGCTGTCTCACGCAGATGTTGGGTGCTCAGCGCGCCCTACAGGAGGCTGCACCCGACGCACTCGACGGGGGGACGCGAGCGGCAGCACGGCAAATCGTGTTTCTGTTCCGTCGGCCCACGCTATAATTGCCACAGCGGATAATCCCATTATAACATATAAAGGAGACTTATTTTGGAGTATTAGCAAAGAATTACTGCCTCGCGACGCGCGCTGAGACGCGTTGGAGACCATCCTGGATATTGTCATCTCGAGGCTACCAGCGGTCTTCTTGTCCAGTACACGCAGCACATAGGAGTTACACGTTTGTGTTCCTTTTCTAAAGACGAAAATGTGTATTATGCTTAACCCACCGAGGTGGGGAGTGAGGCCAACTCACGAACATACCATTGGGAATGGAGTTGCCCTCTACACTGCCGCTTCCCAACGTGGCTAGTTGTGCGGTCTTTGTCTCGATGTGCTTACTACTACCTGACGAAAGGTGATGACTAGGCCTTCAAGCTAACAAATCCTTGCTTCCTTCTTAATTACTGGTTCCACGGGCTGGTGAGCACCGTCCCTCATCCAGTGGGGGCGGCCTACCCTTGCATAACGCTGGCAACTGCTGGCCTACAACGTTCCCAAGGATACGTCTGAACTTATGACAATGAGTATACCACTCCGCAGCGCGGGTGGACCCAAGGATATGTCTGAACTTATATGACAATGAGTATACCACTCCGCAGCGCTGGTGGATTAAGTATCGGATGCCAGTGAGTCACCTCTCAAACAAAGTCGATGCCACGGCTGGTGAGATTATCGGGAGCTGAAGCCACAGAATGGAAGTGTAGGCAGCAGCAGAGGTCGTGATGAATGGCCAATTGCGTTGGTATGGGAAGACATAGGTGCAAGTTACGGATCAATAGACATCACGACCTCTCCTTCGCTGCTTGCTCGACATACTCCCTAAGTGCGGCTACTCGTGCTGACAAGTCATGTGTGCATCGACTTCAGCAATGGCAAGGGGGAAACTCTGCAACCAGACAGTACTAATGCTGACTAATGGATCAGAACCACTAGGTTGAGTGATCGTATACTCATCTTAAGGACAAACCTACTATAAGTTATACGACCAAACGGCTCCTCCCTTGGCTGCTTTTCAGCCCGCCGTCAGACCGAACATGCATTCACTGTTGAAGGAATCTCGTCCCCAAAGCAGCGTTGCCACGTAGTCACATCAATGTGCGTGTATGCATGCGTTGGTATGTGTGTTTTGCTGGTCTGCATGTACGTGTAAATGGCTACTTTGCGCAGCCGATCCAAAAAGGGAGCAGCAGTAGGGGGTAAGCTTGGTAAGGGGTAGACTGCGAAATACTAGTAGTTGCAGGTCCCCCCCCTGCTCTCCTGTAGTGTTGATGCCAAACAATACCTAACCTTGTTCCAAATTCCTGTCCCATTCCCAAATATGAGTAGTCAGAGCCTCGGTATCCTTCCTCCATGGAGCCCCACCGATGACTGGCATCTCTCCTTTGGTCTTGTCAAGCTCTACCTCTCTAGGAGCTGACCGATGTTGTGGTTGATGTCTCGGCACCTGGATGGGTTCTGTTTTCGGGAGGTGAAGTCAGATTCACTAACTGCGGCTCAGTTGCCTGACAGGTCTTCTCGTCGCCCGTCACTAAATCTGCAGATGATGAACCGTAAATTCTAAGGCTATGCGGGACGCAGTCGCTCACAACGACCATAACGTCGCGATGGTTGATCCCAACGCCAACATCTACAAACGTCTCGTGCCATGAACCGTCTCCACCACTTCCGCTGCACATACATTTAAATATGCACAGACCGTATGCACCCCATACACCAACGAGAAATGCCGAGGCCGGGGAAGTAACAGCAAACCACTAGATCACACAAATCGCCAAGACTAGCATGATGGTCCAGCTATACAAGGGCCAGTCGGTTCCCCAATGTGCCAACTCACTTTGGTATCCATGTAAAAAGCCGCACAGTCATTTCTGTTGGCGATTTCTGTTGAAGGACGACCATGAAAGGTGATGTCGGCCCAGCTGGAGAATCCAAAGGAAATTCTTTCGGAGCAGACTCACCTTCCCCGTAAACCAACACGGCCGGTTTACGTGATTCCCCATTTTCATTTGCGGAACCAGGAATGCGGACACCAACAATGGGAATGGATGGCTGTTCCTTAACGGGCCCTTCATCAGTTTTACTCCCTTCGGTACTACCCCCTTCCTGGCCGCCCCCTCCAGCCAACCCTGGTCCCGCTTCAGTCTGTGATTCTCTTATCTGAAGCATGCCCCGAGTATTATCAGTAACCAGCTCAACAAAGAAGTCTGCGTCACCTTTCCCCCATCCATTGGCAGTAACTTTCACTGCTTCCTTCTCTTGAAGACCTCCGCGAACAGTTAGTCTATTGCAATGTGCTTCAGCAAATCCGCCTACACCTGAAAGGAGGAGGAAGCAAATACGTACATAATTTGATGCAACATTCCGATGCAAGTGCCACCTGTCAACGGTGTCGCAAATCCGGGTCAAACGGAGGACAAAATTACGCACCGTGGTTGCCCCTAGTCGGACTACCGGCGGTAAGGGCAGAATCCGGACCGGAAGGCTCATCCCCTGCGCAAGTACACATTGAACACAATACATAGCGCATTACAGTTCTAACAATCGCCAGGCTCAACACACATTCGCAGCTCACGATAACCATTACTATGCTTGAAGCCTTGTAGCCCAGCCAATGTTTGCACGGCATCACCGGAATCCGCCATTCATCGAAAGCATCCACCCCACAGTAGGCCTTTGGGTAAGCGTCCCCATTCTTTCTTCACCATCAGAAACGCTCTAAGCACCTTTATAAGTGAGAATGCAGGGACGTTCCTTAAACACTATTCTGCAGTGCATTCACTGCTCCTCTGCACAGTGACCTCATGAAACACTGCCTCCCATAGAGCCCCCAAATTCGTGAATTTCATTAGCATTTGCTAACCTGGTACTTTGGTCCTGACCGCCGAAGTTGAAGGCAGGGAAAAAAGCAGACCCAGGGCGATCAATGAAAGGGCGCGAGCCATTGTGCTGCTGCAGTGGACAGTAGGCAGGTTATGTTACGGTATACCTTAGTAGGACAAAAATATATTCTGTGGGATAAACTCTTACATGGAGCGAGGAAGGAAGATATTCAGCAAGCATGTGGAAGCTTGAGGTCAAAAAGCAGGCCGCGCACAGGACTGCAGGCTGCCAGTGGGCAGGGTAGGTGGCTAGCAGCAGTTCCGTAGGGTATTTGCTTATTTTGAACTCTGTTTGAAGTTTCACAACTGTTTATTGGCTTATGTAACAGAGGCTTACTGGTAAGCCATTGATCAATCTATGCACTGTAGGATGTCCACCAATGACCGTTTCGGACCAGTGGCAACGGCAGCTTCTGCGCGTAAGCACCAAAGCACGGTGACTCAAGACAAGCGGTGCTTTTGGTAATCTGCTTGTGTATGGCGTGTGATGATCCAACAATTAAACATGCTCGCATGGTAATTGTCGTTGATGGGCTTCGAGAGACAGACGTGGAAATGCAGTGAACAGCGTGCCCAGCTGTTTCTACGTATAACTCCTAGTAGTTCAACCCGGTGCACACTCAGCACCTATAAGCTGGACTCAGCTAATCTCTGCTAATAACACTTGAATAAGGAAATAATCACTCTTAAAACATATTTGAGTCCATATTTCCAGGAAAAACCTAGAATAATAGAACTTACCGGCTCCCCCCCTGGAGAGGGTCTGAGCCAACTGCGTCAGCCTCACGGTCAGTCTTGGGTCTCGTGTGCGCGGGCGTGCACTCTTAACTAATTTGACCCCTTTTCTATCTAAAGAGTTCCAATATATATGTATTTATATTTCTCATTGTTCCCTTCCATGAAACTAGACATTTAAGGTTGCCACATGCGCTCTATTGCAGTGCGCGTGCACTACAGGAAATGTGTAGGGAGCTGCACGGAGTTCTCGTTCCAAGACGGCACCCCAGTAAATGATAATGTAATTCATTCTTAACTGTCCTCTATCCTCGTGCAGACCAATTAAATTCACTTTACTGCTATGAAGTGTTTCAAAGCTACAGAGGGTCATTCCGATGTAGCACACAGCCTAGGCGGTGCCTAGGTCATGTGTAAACTGTCTGCGCAAGTGGTTATATTTGCGTAAGGTGGGGCAGAGCATATTAACCCCCTATCACAGAAAATAATTAGTAATTTTTTGCCTTGCCAGAGAAATATTACTTAGTGTAAGATACTGCAGATGACGTGGAGCGTCGTCACGGGCAAATTGTGCCAGTGGAGATTCTTCACACCGACAAATTCTGGAATGCATTGCACCTGACTAATTTTATGGCGTCCAAGTATTGCTAGATCGTTTAATGATGTGTAAGGCACCATTATGTTGATAGCTGCATTGTGGGGGCTTCTTCGCATAGCTAGCGAGGGTAGGGGAGTGGGTTCGCAGCAGGTTGCAGAAATTGCCACTCTTTCTCCTCAACAAAGCATTAAACAAGCAACACAAAAGCGCATGATATTTGGAAATGGATTCCTAGGCCTGGAAACATATTTCTCGTCAGGTGTTGCCACCCCACTCGTCGAATTTGCGGAGGCCATTCGTGTTAACCTTTCCATGTAGTAGCAGGTTACTGGCTTTATACGAGGAATACAGCGAGCTGCAGTGGAGCCGAAACACTCAGGTCCCTTACATGCAACTGGCCTCTTTCCCCGCTTTCCACACATCCTGAGAGCAGTGTCTGAAAGTGCCTGGACCAACGGGAGATGAGGCGGACCGTGAGTTGCAACGCACCTTGCTGCAACTTGAAGCACAAGGCAACCCCACGAAGAAGTACAAAGAAGCTTTGTTTGCCGTACGCACAGACACTGCAGATCGTTGTTGAGACTTTTCGTTTTCACTCTGTTTGCCTCATGCACGTGCAGTCCTCATGTACCGGTCCCGATCCCTTTCGATGACTGTATTGGCTTGCAAACACTTCGTGTTACTGCGGGGGTCAAGGCGACTGTCTGCTGCTTCTGCTGCTCCGCTCACATTGTTTCCGTAGAGCACGGCCAGCACCCACGCAATGAGTTGGCTGTCGAGGCTGTTGAGAACGTGGCGGCTTGGGGCTGCGCAGAATCCCGCCTTTGGGTGTGCACGGCGGGTTTACATCTGCTCTTAGGTGCAATTAACCTCCATCGCAGTCTCTAGGCTGTCTGGGAGCAGCGGCTGAACCGTCTGGCGCCACGGGAGAGAAAGAGACCTGCCATGGGTTGCAGCAAAACTTGCTGTTGCTCATGGTGCAGTGCAGCCCCATATGCAAGCACAACCAAGCTCTTCACCTGTATGCATGCACACTGCAGAATGTTGTTGAGACCTTCTTGAGTGCTTCAGAGATATTGGCCAACGTGCCGGCATCGGACACACTATGCCACAACAGTGACGACTTCTCTCCTGCCACGTTTAAATGCAGTTGCATGGGCTGCGAGGATAGTGGACACCTTGTATGGATATACTCTTCGGACGGTGAAAATCAGCAAAATATCCCCCGAAGCCATCTGAGTTTAGACATTTGGCGAACATACGGCGGAACAGCAACGGGATGGAAATACTTTGGTGTTGGTGTCGAACGTGCAGCAGCACATCAATACATTAGTTACCCTTAGACAGCTCGCTAGGTGCAGAATTTATTTTGTGTATGAATTGCGCCACGCTTCAAACGTTGTTTCTCACGAATTGCATATTTGAACGGATGCCTTAGACAGGGAACCACGGCAAAACGCAAGCTCCAAGATAAAAGCTTCAGCTTCCACAGAATGTCTATGTCTTCCCATGCAGCGTCTCAGCCCTTCATACTAGTTAGCTCATCTACGCGTTGTAGCCTCATCCACGTTTTGGCGTTTTTCGGCCTCAAACGGAGACGCTTAAGTCACGAACACACCATACAAAACATAAAACCCCACACGTAAAGCCAAGATGAGGGTCAAGAAAAGAATTAAACGACAATGTCTGAGCTGGAGGATATCCCCCACCGTCGCTGGTTTTGCAATAAGTCGAAAAATCTTCAGAAGCCTTGTGCTACCAGCATCATGGCGAAGACCCATCTAGTACGTTCCTTACTGCACTCACTATAACACCTTAACCCTGGCTACGCAGACCACGAGCAGGATGCAGGGAAATGTCAAACAGCTTTACAGTGTCGCACACTTGCCGTGAACCACTACAGCTGGCAACTCAGAACTGTGTATCTCAATCTACTTCTACATCAAAATGAAGTTTCGGCTGTAAGCGGAAAGATGCATGCCGGCCGCTCTCAAGCACTTCGCCATCGTTTGTAAACCTGGAAGCGCACACAGGATCAATCATACCACGAAAAAGGTTTTGCATCCCTGCAAGCCAGTGAATGAATGAGAATAGCTGAAAAGCAAAACGGCAAATCATACCCGAAAAGAAACTGGACTGGCCCTGCATTGTAGCGAGAGTAACCCTGCAGGTTTCCATTTCCACGCAAGCGAAGGAGACTGGCTATGGAGAGATGTGGCCGAACAGAGATACCTAGCCATGGACGACCCTGTACAGACGCGCAGGGCATCAAAGCTCATGCGAGACACTTGCAGTTACCCACCCAATCGTGCACAAATTACGGTCGACCTTCTCGTGAGGCAGCAGTGCTCCACGGTCGTCCCTGATGCCGACCGTGAAGAAAGTGCAAATCATTGACTTTCGTACAACGCAGAGAATCTGAAAGCTGCTATTGGCTAGCATTTTCCCATGAATCTTCACAGTGCATAGAGATTTTGCTTACTTGCTGCTGACGAAGCAACATGCCAAGGGGAGACCCAGATAATTCCGCTGCCATTGCGGAAAAGTCCCTAGCGGACTTCTGAAGAAGCAGAAAATAGATTTCAAGCAGAGAGTGGGATAAGTTGCGGAACTGCTGGATGTTCCAGCCAGCCTTTGCATCGGATGCCACCCCACGAACGGGCTGCTCAGTAGCTGTTCGATGCGTGACGTGGTTAGCAGACTGTGAATCCATAGACCGCTGAACCGTGGAGCCAGCCACGTTGGGTAGCAGGTGCCTCAGTCGCTGATCCAGTGTCATCAACGCCTGTAACCCCACAAACAAGCATCTTTCAGAAAAGCCCTTCGTTAAATACTGGTCGGACCGGCTAGGAAAGATGTAATGCCGAAGACTGAAGCCTTGCGCCGGAAGGCGTGTCAGTGTAGCGAACAGCAGCGAAGCTAACCTTTCTAATAACTCCTGTTGCCAGAGATTCAAAGTGTCGTGCGTCCTTCTGCAATACAGCAATCAGTTCTGCTCGAAGACCTTGCCTGATATTGCTTTCTATCTCCAGGGCTTCCCTGAATTTCACCCAGGGGTGCACCGCATTTGTAAATGCCACCGCTGAGTCGTGCATACAGCCAGGAGACGTTGGACCAATTGGTCCCAGCCAGTCTCCCCCACTCATATGCATTGATCGAAAGCTTACCTAAGGAATATAGCACGGATTTCTCTCTCAAGACAACCCTTCAACTCCTTGCGGAGTGCTCTACGTTGCAGCGAAAGCTGAAGTGACCACAAAATCCCTGTAAAGCCGGTTTATCGCCCGTATCATTCGTCTTATTCCGATCCTACAATGGTAATTATATTGAATTGGAAACCCCGCCCACCTGATACCTCCGGGTCCGGTAGTCGTAAAAGGTCAATGCCTCAGATAGGATTCTTTGGGCTACTGAACCGAATGGCTGCGTCGAAGCGTTCTGCAAATTTCGTCGTTGGAGCTGGTGTAATCCGTTCTGTGATGCACAAAGACTGGAAACCAAAACCCTCGCTACAGTACTTTTACATAACACCCCATGTATTGCTTTTTCGCATAGATATCGGGAGCCACAAAACCTCTAGGGTTAATGATGAGCCGCACCCTCGCATCTGCCAGGGATTGCCTAAAGGCCGCCGCGCAGACGTTGGAGGAGAGAGCATGTGCAGCAAACTCAGAAGTGTTGGGAAGACCTGAAACATATTGTCTGGTGAGTAGAGCTGCCAATGCATCTGCAGAAGCAACAAACGAACACAGTAGCAGCACAAACCTCATATTATCCCATCGCATATTACCCTCTTTGTCTTCACCTCGCGAGGCATCTAGTCTGCACCAGACAACGGGTTATACGCGTTTTCGGGCGCTAATTGCTCCAAAACTTTGTGTCCGGTGTATACCAGCAATGTGCGCCACTGAAGCGTTCCGTGGTTCAACCCCTTGTATCAGACGGCCCATTTCATCCCGAGCATCCTTGCCCTCTGGTGGCTGCACGCCGACCACCGTTACTCTGGCTGCGGCAATGAGATAGCACCGGCACCGAACAATATAGTCCACAGGTGAGCTGCGGCGTACCTACCCCAACCCTGTTCTATACAATAACTACTTTGAATCGGACTGAGCTTGCCTTCAGGGGTGCCCAGTTGGGTGCGAATTTCTGCACGAATAGCCTCCTGCTTTGACTGAGACACTCGCCCCTGCAACGCCAAGAACAGCCCGTGAAGCATTGCCTGACTCTGTCTATAGCAGCAAAGCAGGTATTCAAACCAACTCGCACAAGGCATTACAGGTCCAACGTACGTGCCACGCTTGCCGAGTGGAGCAGACAGTGACTCGATGCGTGCACGCTGCCAATAATTGCAATTCGAATAATCTGCCGAGAGATTCCATTAAAACATTGAACCAACCAGTGCATCATGACTCCATCAATTTCTAAATTACCTCCAGGACGATGACGACGAACGGCAACCGGCGATGTCGGGTTGCTCCCGGGCACGGTAGTCGCTTGGGGGCGTTTGGCTGGATGCAGGGCTGTCTCGTACTAATGCTGGTCCCACCATGATACCCGTCATCGTTAACCAGCTGTCGCATTGCCTGCAACAGCTGTAAAACATCTTCTGGAAGAAGAACCCGATCATCCACGGGCTTGATATCAGCCCGAGGTAATTGTCCACAACTGTACCCTGTTTGACTATTGCCCAGTTCTGTATGCGGCCTGCCCTCGGTTCCTCTTGCAGCATTCCCCATGCAAAGAAGCTCTCCAAATTCGTGATCTTCCAAAGAGTCATTCAATCGCGATGTGCAATCAAGCCCATTACTAAGCAGAGGTATAACCAGGATGTCGGCTGCCTCAACTAATGTGTGTGCAACGGCTTCGATCATAGCCGCTTCTGTCAAAGCATTCATGCTCTCCGAAGCATACCCTAAGTTTTCTGTTGACCCATTACCTTCCCTTGTTGTTACCATACGGGAATCGGCAACGGAATTTTCTGCCGATGGGCCTTCTGAGGAGCGCAGCTCCTGATTATACCGTGTTGACGTGTCTTCTCTCTCTACCGTAGATACCCCGTCCTTTTCCTGATCATTTACAGTTGAAGGCAGCTCGAGAGTGAGCAATACGGCACTGGATCCCAGCCTTTCGAGTCCGATGTCTGGGAACAACGCACAAACGGGAATCATACAGGGGAAAAATGTGATTCAGTGGCCTCCGTGGTCTCTGCAAGTTAATGCAATACGCGCCTTCAAGTGTTTAAAAAAGGCAGAATTCATCTGTCCAGTATAGTAGGTGTTTGCAACGCACTTGTTGCCGCGCACAGCTGACGCCAGGATGGCTCTGACGTTCCCTTTAGATCCTTTGTGGCCGCCTTGTCCTTAGTTATACCCGAGGAGAGACACTTCGACTGTTCTACGTTGTCCGAAAAGCCGGCATCACAGCCCAGCAGCTCCCTTAGGGCTGGACGCTGGAGCGGACGGCCAATGCTGACCACGAAGGGAACAGACTTTGCCGGCTCTCCATCTTGCCCAATCACTCTTCCATTCAAAAAGGTATTCCGCAGAAGGCCTAAGGCCTTCTTAGTTGCTTCTCCGCGAGAATGGTCACTCAAGCTTCGCAGTGCCTGCACCCACAACAGACGGCGTTGAAAGCAGCACCTTGCCGCATGGAAGGGGCAATCCATCTTGATCGAGGTAGTACTATATGAGAGTGCAACAGGAGTGGGACCATACTAGCTCAATAGCATACCTCGCACTGTGGTAGTAGAGACAAAGGAAGCTGCTTCGAAGAACCCTACATATAAATGCACAGTTGGCACAACTCAGAAGAATGGGGGGCCTGATTGTGGTGTAAGTATTTCAGCGAGGCAAACGCCGTAGCTTACTTGTGTCCGGATTCGTGATCCGTTTGCTTGTATTAGGCAGCAAATGACACTAAATAAGAGCCACAGAAATGGCATCGTCGCAAATTTGCCCTGCTCCAAATGTGAGCGGATGGGCAGTTCCGCACGCTTCTGAGGAATCAAAAAATAGCAACTGCCACTAAACCACCTACAGCAATTCGACTGAATGCTTCTAACGGTCCATGTCGAAATACAGCACACCTACAGACGGTCAGGTGATATGCTACGTGTCAGAAGTCCTGTTGTCAACAGTGTCGAGGGAGCATCATGTGCATTCGAGAGTGTCGCATACTCTTTCTGTGTAGTTCCGTGTTTGAGATAGTGCATTGGTGGACTCAGTATCGAAAAAACTGAGGGACTGTGCCTCCTGTGGACAGGAGTATCGCTGCGACTGCCATCAGTGAGGCCATCCAGTGACTCTGGGCCTCCCGGAATCACACACAAACTTAAAACTATGCTTTCTTCCAAAAGCATCTAACGACTTTCTCCTCTTCTACATCGAGGGTCCAAGGCACTGTAGCTTGTCAGCTGTCTCGAATGGGGGCCTCATGTGGGGCCCTCATGCACCGCCGACTTCTGCAGAAACGATGATATACAGCATCTCACGCTGAGCACAAACATCCACAATGTGCCCATCAAGCTTAATTTTTGCCAGTAGTTATATACCTTCTAGCAACCAGACCTTGTAGTCTCCTCTCCTGTTTGCAGGGAAACAGTGAAGAATACCCGGTGTAGTGCACGCACACTACAATAGAGCGCATGTGGTAACCTTAAATGACTAGTCTCATGGAAGGGAACAATGAGAAATATAAATACATATATATTGGAACTATTTAGATGGAAAAGAGGTCAAATTAGTTAAGATTGCACGTCCGCCTACACGAGACCCACGACTGACCGTGAGGCTAACTCAGTTGCCTAGGCTCAGACCCTCTCTAGGGGGGGGAGCCGGTAGGTTCTAATATTCTGGGTTTTTCCTGGAAATATGGACTCGAATATGTTTTAAGAGTGATTATTTCCTTATTCTAGTGTTACTTATTCAAGTGTTATTAGCAGAAACTCAGCACCTATAAGCTAGACTCAGCTAGACTGTTCACCAGGTTGAACTAATTAAGACTTATACGCAGTAACAGCTGAGCACGCTGTTCACTACATCCGGCACCAACAGCCCTGTGGCTCATGACGGTCATCGAGGGAGATCCAGGACCCGATTACAGGAACTCAGTGCACACGCAACACTCTGCCGTATGGCTATACGTCTTCTGTGAATCACGCGCGGTTGGTACTGACCGAAGTCCCTTGGGTGGCATCTTAAAGGTGCCATATGCTGCTAAGCAGCGTAGCGCAGGCTGGAACGGGGGCCGCCGCCCTGAGCTGATGTAGGAAGCTCTGTACGAATTAGGAATGTAAATTCCAACTTGAACACAGGAGTCCCGGCCAAGTATGTGCTGAGCAGTCCTCTAGAGTTTTGATGCAAGCATCAAGAGAGGCTGTGGGCATGCTCGCCCGAGGGATTGGCTTGCAGAAAGAGTTGATGAAACGAATGCTGCAGCACACGGAGGGCTGCGTCATCTCTTCAGGAACCCCAGGTATTTGGGCAGTAGACCGCAGAGGACTGTCGGCTGCATGAGAGATGAATTGTTCCCATTTTGCCCTAGTTGGGTTGAAGAACCGTCGTGGAGGGAACATCATGGGCACGTTTCCACGAATATAGGAAAAGGCAACAAACACTCATTGTTAGGTACGCCGTGGACCGGCTTCTGTCAGTAACAGAGCGGGGTCGTGTCAACACTGCTATTCTCCGCTGCCACATTGAACATGTGATTCTTGCCTTCGATTGTGTAGTGGGCTCCGAACAGCGTGTAGAGAGCTGACTCAACAATTTTAGGAGATCCGAACCAGAATGCTTCGCAGCAGCCCAGTCAAGGCAGGAACTGATTGCAAAATCAACTGCCGATTAAACCAGGGTGTGGCAAAGCTATATGCTGCTACGATTCTCAGTATCGAACCAATTTGCCCATGTTGACCAAACTGCCAGTCAAACGGAGCAACATCGGAGTGGGGACAAACCATGGCAACCCAAAGCTGTCCCCGCACCACTCTTGCTCGCCTGCTGATGGAACGTATAACTGTTGAGTGCGGGCAGCTCCCCTTTGGCCTCCAGTCTCTCGTGGTGGATTCAAGATACACGAAATCTATCAGGCAAAAATCCTTGGAGGAGAACGTTGTAAGTATGCTACTAAAAAAAGTCTATAGTCATGATGTGGCTAAAAGGCGTTTGCATCCTTTTCGTAACGATCGCTGATCGCACAAAAATTCGTTGCTCAGCAAAGAAACGATATGCGAGCTTTCACCATGCAGAGGACAACAAATATTGAAAGGCTCCCCCACCCACAAATGGTGATTCAAACTGAGCATCTACAACAAGCACGAGCGCACAGCGAGTTCGAACTATAACCCCGATGTCCCCCAAACTAGTCGCCCTCCACTCGGGAAAACCGAGACGGAATCTTTCTGATTCCGTGGAAATGCACGTCTAGTCGCCCTCCAGAGTTCCAAAACTAGTCAGTGTCATTATCTGCAGGCCCGATACACTAAGGAAAGGTTTTATGCCCGGCTTGGTCTTCAAGAGCGGCAACTGGCGCACTGTAGCTCGCCCTTAATGGCAGTGGGTGGGGTGCAGAGGAACGCTACCAAGAGCGCGAACAGCCCACAAAGCCTTCCAACCCTGCGTTAAATGTTCCGCTTGGCTGCTTCTCTCTCGACAGAGGCGAAAAAGTCATCTGCGGAAAAGGACGCTTCTACCGTTGATGCAGGGGCTGGAATGAAGTTCCCCTTGTTGGCTGCCGTGCCCGTTGCGCATGTACCTCCTTTAACCGCCAGAAGAGGTGCTGGCGCTGCTGCCTGGAGGCGCATGCTGCCACTGGCACCTCTACTAACGACCGACGTGTGCATCCCAGTACAGAGAGAGGGAGCCTCGCCTTGTGTAGCGCTCCGCTGGATCCTGTGACCCCCAAAGTTATTGTTGACAGCATCCTCCCGTTGCGGCGCAGTGGCCCCTCCGACACTGCTTCCACAAGAAGGGTTTGACCCATGCTTCTGGGTTTCAAAGCATGGTACTGTTTCCCATGTGTCTGCTGGAATCTCCATATCGTCACCTGAAAAACAAAAACGCACTGCTTTCAGCATATCCAGAGCTAAACTCCATAATGCCGCTCTAGTTGCCAGCCGCCGGCATAATTAATCTGAGGAGGCAAACACAGCGTGACCACTTTTAAAGGCAGGAGCAACTTGCGATACTGCAGCTAACACGAGATTAAGGCTATTCACGCTACAGGAAGCGGCATGCCGCCCACCCCACGAATTTATGGGTTCACGGGCATCCTTAAACTCGTCAGTTGACCGGCTAGGCGGCGAACTGGATGATGGGATTGGAGGTGGATGGGGAGGCTGTCGAGGCTGGGGGTACCTCCCCATTGCAGTCGATACATTTTCTCCCGTAGTTCCCAAAGGTGCACTATGATTGTTTCCGCTCCTACCTCCATGCAGCATGAGTTCTGCCGTGTCAGCCTGCGGCTTACTGAACCCTGCGAAGCCGGCAATTCAGACAAACTAAACGCTGCCTGTTTATTCACAGTATCTCTCCTACCATCCCCGAGGATAGGCCTTGTGTTGCTGCGGTCTACCAGCACTGACACCCACCTAATGTTATTCCAAGGGTTTTCATTGTCGCCAGCCACCCGTCTGATGGCTTGAGAGTGGCTTTGTCGGCGTGGTGTGAATGTTCTGGAAAATCACCAGGTCCCCGCAGCATCACATGTAGAGACCGATTCATGAAAAAAACCGAATGGACGAGGATCGTAAACTGCATCCACTGCAATAGCCACACTTGATGACCGACGTTTACCTGCTTCTGTTCGCTGGTCGTGTGGCTGTTGTTTCATCTCCGCTCTTGCTTTCGCAGCAACCGCTAAGACATTAATGCACGATGAGGTTGCAGAAATAACTGCCGCTGACGGCGACAGAAAGCACGGCGAGGCGGCAGCAAGCAGAGTCACCAATCCCTCCAGTGGCAATGAATCCGCGCAGTAGGCGCTTGCCTGCACGGCAACACAGAGGCTGGAATGAAGGTATTCCAGGAAAAAGGAAAACCCCGCAAGCACCGACCCAAGTAGGCAGTTTCAAAACGTGTACGGGTCGGGTAGCGCTGCATCATCCAACAGATTCATTACCTCCAAGCCAGCCAGTCGGATGTTATCTTCTGGGTCTCGAAGGGATGCCGAGAGGATTTCCACCAGCACGGGTGGGCATCCTTGCGTGCCGCTCTCTCTAATGCTCATTGCTGCGGCTGCCGCAGCGATGACAGCCTCAAGACGAACTGCGCCTGCCGAATCTCGCAGCCTGTGCTCGAGAAGAGCAAATGCCGTAGAGGCCTACACCGCGAACAACCCAAAGGAAACAAATTTGCACACAGCAAAAGTTGCATGTAGTGCCACCAACCATCAAATCGGCTGACACTTATCCGCTGTATACCTCGTCTACGCTGCCACCTTAGTGGTGGTTCCCCAATTCACTGGTTTGGAACAACGCTGGCATGCTGCTGAGGTGCTCCTGCAGCGCTTGCAAGTATCAAGACTAGACTCACCTGGGGCGCATCACGCGGCAAACGCGAAACATAAAGTGACAGAATGCGTGCAGTGAATGCCCGAATGGGAGGAGCGGAGTCTTCTAGGCCCAATGTCAATGAAGACCATGTGCGACCAAAAAAGTCATCAGGCAGCAGACTCTGCACTGCAGGTAGCTGGGAAAGCAAGGCGAATCTGAACAGCCGCAAAGGCACACAGGGCTGCACGCTAATATATCGAAGGTTAAAGACATGAAATAGTCAAGAAAGAATCGGACTCACCGTATGGCCCTATCAGAGTTATCGAAAGCATGGGTAAGAACTTCAGAAAACAATTGAAGTGGAACCGCGGCCTCATCCCTAGTGCAGCTGTTGCGCTTTACCGAGCTTCCTGACGGAGTAGACAGAGGCGCTACAATTGACATGATGCACTTGATGATGCTACAGTGATACGCCGACGCGCTGCTGTTCATGAACAACAACGCCAGTTCAGGAAGTAGCAAGTGCACAGCCATGCCATACGGTATCTGTTGCTGTTGGAGGGCTGTTGGCAGTTGCTGCTCAAAAAATCTCTCCTTGTCCACATGACTCCTAACAGGGAAAGTGCGGATAAATGCCAAAAATTGGCAGCAGACATCCCCTGACACAAACAATTCAGGCACCGAAACTGCTTTGCTGTCCTCAAGACTGCTCAGTGCGAAACAACACGCTGGCACACAGTAACGTAATGCGCGTAGGTCGGGTCGAAATAGGGTTCACCAGCGAACAATGAAGCGTAATACTTTCAATGTGCCTGATAAAATTATTCAGAGTGCTGGCAACAAGTGCATTACACACTACATAAAGCAACAACTGGGAAGAACGCTTCTGTATGTGCCTCTGGGATGCCCTGAAGAAGCTCCAATGCATGCACCCGGTCTGTAATCATAAATATGCTCAATAAATATTATAGAAAGCATACCTGCAAAACACGGATCGCCGCCATCAGTCAACTTGGACAGCCTAACAGCGCTTCCGCTCGAATCCAAAATCCTCCGCATCAATCGTTGTAAAGCAGGAGGTACTTTGTGCAGGGCCCTTTGGAATGATGCATCGCTGATGCCAATAGAGAGGCCGCAAGAAGAGCCATCATTTCGGTTAGAGCGTACAGGCCGGACAGAGCTATAAGGGTCCCTAAGACACTCTTGCCACCAGGCAAACACGGAGCAAAGCCCCCACCTGGAAAGCAGAAACAGCTTGCATCATACAACAAACAATTTACAGAGTGCCACCGTGGCCACGTGTGAAGTGCCGTCCGGCTCCGAGTATTCCCGCCATGCAACGGTGGTCCTTTACCTGTCGAGAAAGTCTGGTCGAGATCCTGGTGAGGGCCTTGGTGGTTCCCATCCCTGGGCTGCGCTTGCAGTTGATAGCATTAAAGAGTAAAACTCCGGCCACTGCACATCCTCCAAGGAGCGCGTCAGAACAAAGGAGCTCAACTTCCATTTCCCTGCACATTCAGTGCACTAATGGGCTACCAAGTAGAAAGCTGTCCTCAAGTGTCACGTTTTACGCGAGCACGTAGTAAGTGGCTCGCTGAGATGCCTCCGCCATTCGGGTGCCAACTGCTGAATTAGTCTAGTCAGTTTCCTAAACTCAATTATTTTCGTGTTTGCACATGCCTTACCATGTGGAGTGACGAATATGGAAAAGGGTGAAACCTCGCCGTGGACAAGTTTGCATTGGTCATGGAGAAAAGAAAGGCTTTCTGTTAACTCGAGGAAATTCCAGCAGGTGTTGGCGGCCACCTCAGCTGCGGCAACTGTCGCCGCCTCCGCTTTACGAGTAGAATCTGAAACTCCATCGACTGAAGCTGTGGGTGGATCACTTCTCTGCTGCTGTGGTAATGAAGGGGGCCGTTTAGCAGCTAACTCTTGCTGCTGCTGCTGCTGTCGGTTGAGGTATACCACGTGTACCAGGGAAAAACAACATTCTGTAACAATGTAGAGGGCATTGTTCGTTTCGTATGTGCCAAGTACCTTGAGGAGGTTTGGATGAAGCAGTGTCTTGCACTTAGCGAAGTGGTTCTTCGCCTGATCAAAAGTGGGCAAAGACACTGAGCCGTTGCTTTTAAACGGTGGTGACTGCTGTTTGGCACGCTTCAGTGCAAAGACAGATACCTGAGATGCATTGCCTGGGTTAAGCAATGCATCCAGAATTGGACGCTGGCGGCCGCTTCCTTCCACGGCAGCACCGGTGGATTGCCTTGTGCTGGTTGCAGAAAATTGAACGAATCCCCCTGGTAGCTCGAAACCATAAGGTATGGCCGATCCCAGGGTATAAGGGAAGTTGGCTGGTAGATCCCCCCACGATGAGATGCTTTTCCACAGCGACTGCAGCATCTCCTCCAGTAGACGTGAAGGAGTGCCGGCTACAATGGAGCTGCAGCCAGTTACGGAGAACAGTTTCTCAGGAGGATCCCTATTATTTATATCGGAAAGACACAGTATGTCCACAATAGATAACTCTCCTTGGGATGCTTGAATGGTGTAGCTTCAATTCGTGATGTATCGAATGTGACCGTATGCTCCTTAGTGTGTTGGAAGCAGCTACTATAGATGACTAGAACCGGCTCAGCATTAGGTGCAGTACCCACTTCAGTTGGATATATAAACGCACAGAAAAATAAGGAGACCGGAGTCACCAATTGAAAGAACCGGGAGTTCTTGTGATAAACAGAACTGGTCCTTCTCTTAACACGCGTTTCCATCTCAGTATTACCCAGCCCCAACGGCTGCTATCTGCTTAGGGATGAATTTTAGTACGTTTACTGTATTAATATCATTTTCATTACATGACATGCATTTTCTCTTTACGTTGGAGGCATATTTGGAACATGTGGAAGATAATTCCCTCTATCTCTGCCGCTTCCGCCACAACTTTTTCACGAGTAGCTGCTCTGCCTTGCCCTGGTTGAACGGGAGTTTCGGGTGCTGACTTTTGGTCTTCGTCGCCTACACACCTGGCTGTTCCGCACTAAAAGAAAATTTTGCAATCCGGTTGACTCCGTCGTGTAGGACAGTTAACGACTCCTATTGGATTATGAGTTCGCCCATGTATGGGATGTGAAGCATAGGCTGCCCGGTAATGCCATATATGTCCGAAGTTGGCACGTAAGCCCTTATCCGCACCTAATGGACAGATGGAACGAAAGCAGAAGCTCTCAACAACTGTCTACAGTGTACATGCATGCACGTAAAAAGCCATGTTTGTGCTAGAACATGGGGCTGTCTTGCGCCAAGAGTTACAGCAAGTTCCGATGGAGTCCGTGGCAGGCTGCCTACTCTCCCTTGGCGCCGCGAGTTTCAGCCGAGGCACTCTTTAAGGCTAGAGACTCAGAGGGCGCTTAGTTGCATATAGGAGAATTCTCATTAGCATTTTGGCTCCACTGCCACTCACAATAATCTTCGAGGGCCCCCGTTACACTTGGCAGCCCCGCGTTGTTTATGGAGTGCAGGTATAAACAACGAACGTCACCCCCTCAGAAGGGAAGCCCGTCGTACAGTGACAAATAGTACCTAAGGTGGTTAAAATATTCATATCTTCATGGATACAACAAGCGTTGTTTTCGCTTTCCTACTCTACTGGTCAATCTCCGCCTTTGTGTTTTGCACAGTAGTTGCTGATCATATTCACAGACTCAATATCTGGATTGTTTCCAAACCAGCCCCGTTCACTTCCTGCTACTTCTGTAGTTGTCGCGTTTTTCTCTTCGTTGGTGCACAAGTATTCCATCATCCCTGCGAGGTCAGCCATTTAGCGTCTTACTCCCTGCAGCACTGCCCAGCCTGCTACCAATTGCCGTTTTACAGGGGAGAGCCGTGAAATGAACCAGTGATTTGAAAGTTCCGAGTCAATCATCGGGAATTTACTCACCACGACTGCTATTTCTGATGCTCTGCCGATTGCTTCCCTTGCAAAAGGTTCTTCAACTACGTAATAGCCTGTTCTTTTGCCAGTCTAGGAATGAATCTCCGCCGCAGTTAGTACCACAAGGAAGATGCTGGTCAACATTCATTGTGAATGAGAAATAAGAAGCGGAGATGAACCAATAGTGTAGAAGGGTTAAAACAATGTTTCTTGTGTCTATGAATATATGAATATTCTAACCGCCTTCGGTTCTACTCACATATCTGCAGAGGGTCTTTTGCTGAGGGGGTGAGGTTTCTTGTTTGCTTCTACACCCCATGATCTATGCAATGCTATCAAGTGCAACGCGGGTCCTGGAACTTATCTAAAGACAACTGTGAGTGGCGACAGAGCTAAAAACACTTCGGATGAGAATTCCTAATATGCAATTAAACTCCGTCGCAGTCACTAACCATCCTAAGCGCCGCTGCTGAACCGCCTGACGCCAAGAGCGAGTACGCGGTTTGTCATGGCTTTCATCGGAGTCAATGGCAACCTAACTGTTTCTACTGTTATTCTATTTTAATGGCCTTACCTGTGTGTCGCAGCATTCTATTTTATTGGCTCAAGACAGTGCTACCTTCCCGCAACTCACGGTGCAAGATAGGCTCGTATACAGGAACAAAAATCTCTTTGTGCCTGCACGCAGGAACACTGTATGCAGTTATTGAAAGCTTCTGCTTGCGTTGCGTTCGTTTGATAGGGCCCCTTCACGGATCATGCGCCAACTTGGAAAAGCCTTACCAACACTGCAGCCACTGTGCTACATGTGGGCTGAAGATGATGACTGGGCTGATTATGCTTCTTAATTCCATATCGATAACCGTAGCCAGTCCTATTGTCCAACCTGGGTACAAAACCACTTAACTGCACACATCACGAAGCATCCATTGTCTGAACGCGTTCCTGAAAAGCGGCACCACTACAAGGATATGCCCGTCGTTGGTGCACCTATATTTTCAATTAAGGTGAAACAGCCAACTGTATCTCTCCGGGTGCCGCTTCAGGACTAATGTGCACCTCCAAAGGAGTAACGAATCCATCTAAGTGACTAATATTGTCAAAGGAAGACACCAAGGGGGGGACTTCTAATGACAGAAGCTTTCTGGCACTTGAGACCCCAACACCCAAGAACAACGGGTTGCCACTCTAATTGTCTTCACCCCAGTGGAATTCATTTTCTTGCTCATTCAGCAGTTCATGATTGTAATCGCTCTTACTAGGAAGCCTGTACTTGTTACTGAGTGCCGCAAAATACTCTCGGTATCTTGCGCTTCTACCTCTAGCTGGCCCGATGCCCGGGTGCCCGAAGGACCGGTGCTCACTACAGGCACAGAAGAAAACCGTGAGGAAACCACACTCCCGGAATGTTCTTCTTTTACGCACACCAGAATATGGGAAGATTGGCACTGCAGTTTGTACTGGGCCTCATCGTTGGAGGCCTTCTGGTTGCCGCTGTCTTGAGCAACCCCACCGCGGGTGGCTTCTGTGTCAGAGTTGCCTTCACCGTAGGTATCCTGCATGCTAGAGGGCTTCAGTTTGTTAATAATCCCCTTTCCATAGAGAATTTATAGAGATCTGCAACTTCTTCTAAGGAGGAACAGCATCTCCTCAGTGGCGTATTTGTCTCCGTGTGTTCAACTGTTTGACCACACAATGACTGGCTTGCTAGAGCCACACTTAGCTGCGTTATTTATTAGAAGGCTATCTCAGCTGGCATTGACAAGGGTTCGTTCGCCATTCGGCGGACACAGGAATGTATGTTAAGGAGGCTCACCAGTACGACCCGGGCACAACACTAATATCTGCAATGCAACGGGTTCCTCTGAATGTTGGGGGAACTTCTGACCAATATGAGGGCGCATCCCGCTTTGCCGCCCTCGTGAGGTGCAGTGTACACGAGGCACAGGAATGGCTGCGTCGCAGTTCTGGTTCTTTTGAAACAGCTTTGAATGATTATCTTACCCAACAGCGGTCACCAAAGAGGCATAAATTGTCGGCAACTCCACCTCGTCCATGCAACCAGCATTTAGATACACCATGTAGCCCACTTACAGGGGACGTTGCCCCTGGTAATCCCACGAGGGTGCGGACGGGGCACTTAGAAAACCCCGAGGGAGCAAATTCAGCGTTACTTGATGAGACGGGACAATCGAATGCCCCAAAAGGTAGAGATGCATTTGGTGGGAGCCGTACGTTAATGATAGACTTGGCTGGCGAATCAGACGAAGAAGAGGAAACTGCAGTCGGAGAAGTTGATGGGCGCGATGCAAGCAACTCATCGGGTGAGGTGTTTTACCAGACGGCATTTTTCCGGGAATGCGCACAATAACAAGCAACAGAAGGCTTTGATTTTGACTTGTTGTATCCATGATGCATTGACAATTGTATAGTGACAATTGTATAGTATCCTATAGCATCGCTAGAAGGCACAGACTATCAAGCGTCTGCTTGTTCAGGCGAACTTAGGGACAAGGGATGCAGTGGCAACGAAGTACTCCCCCCTACATCTGTAGGGGAGTATTCCACTCCTGCTGTCGACGATCTTCCGGACGATTTTTCCTTTTGTCTAGGCGAATGCGTAGCAAACGGCACCGTCACCAGCAGTACAATCAGTAAATTCAGCCTCACAGTGAGTCGTGAACCATTACCATTACCGATAAATACTCTTGGTGTCTTCCTTCTAAACTCTACGGCTCGCCTTCTTCCGGATTTAGGGATGCTTGCTTAGGGGATTCATGGCTTCATTGTCCGCCCTAGCGTTGCTGCTTAAGTGTGTCAACGTTATCTTGTTATCGGCTCAGGACCCGTTGACACTGATGGTAGAGGTGCGGCTGCCACACACACAACGTTGGGGGCCACAGCAGGGCTTCCGCAGGGCAAAGCTACCAAACAGTGGTTACAGGATAGTTTATATACACCTCAACGACCCCATTCTTCTGGAGCACCAAAGGCGCCTGGGGCAGCCCAACCTCCGCGGTCAATGCCTTGATAAGACCCCACTTTCCACAAGTGCTTCATTGAATGCATCGAACGGCACAGGAGGAAAATGTTCCAGCCGTTGCAACCAGCTTGCAGGACTGGACTTCCACAACCTTCTTTCCAGCATCTCTGAACAGACGACTTTCTTGCGCCTTCTCATTGACGGCAGGGAAGCTGTCCGCTTTGACAGGGAAGTGGCTAGCGCCCTAGCCCCTTTGCTCCTTTTAGGAGCTATTAAGGTAAGAGTGGGGTCGGTAGCATGTGTTTATTTGCGCGGGCAAACAAACGCTCCTCTTATTGGCTGAGTTCCCGTGCTCTACTTCCGGGATGACACGTCTAAATTGTCATGGTGTAAATTTCCTTGCTTGGGTCGCTGGGATGTCTTAGGTCGACATTTGCTGGCTACCAGACCGAATGCCACCCCGCCGTCTCGCTATTAACAGCAATCTCTCCGTCCGCATGAGTGTGCATGTGACCGTACAGGCGCTTCGCTTAAGCGCACTGAGGCAAAGGTAGCGTTTGGTCTCTGTGCATCCTACTGTGCCAGGGCCCCCTCCGTTAAAATCTGCCCCCAGGGAAATATCCCAGAACACTTCGTCTCAGAACTAACGGTTTTGTGCAGGGTGAAATGCTCTTATTGCGCAGACAGGATTATCTACAGTTTGGCTCAACCACATAAGTGTTCGTCGCTTTCGTCGGTGGTATTGCTTAATGCAAGTTGTTCTGCACTTTCGATTAATCAACGTTCCTATTTTGCCATCATTTGGTTGTTTTGTCTCAGGGGGGATCCGTATGTGAGTCAGGTGCACTTTCCTGTTCTGATCGGAGGCGCCTTTGACTCACTTTTGCAACTCCTGGGTATGCAACCCGTCAATACATCCTCACGGCAAGCGGAGGAAAGCTATTCAGCTGACTTGGGGATGAACAAAGAGGCCGAAATTGGCGAGTGTCTGAATAAACTTCATGGACCCAAGAGGTTTAAAGGATCCGCTGAAATCGGAAAAGATGATGCAAATGGAGAATTAGAACCCTCTCTCAAAGCAAGATCTCGTGGCTTCACAGGGGAGGACGAAACGGGTGAAGATAGTGATGGGACCCATATCATTGATGAAGATGACGAGGAAGTTGAGGAAAGGAGCGATGATCTCTGCCAACTGGTCTTGGAAGGGCGGGCTACATCCGATGACCCGCAGCGCCAACCACAGCAACGGCGCAGTCTGGGCACTCTTTACCCTCCAACAAGCATGTTTGTTTCCCGCCTTCGTCCTTATCAGGCTCAGGGCCTTTGGTGGATGCTCCACTGTGAATCTGAACAGAGGTTGAGCCTGGAAGATGAAAGTGAAGAGCTTGACCCGCTTTGGGCAAAGTATAGCCTTTCCCCAGCCGCAGCTCCTTATACTACTACTGATTTATCGCTTTACGGTTCGACACCCATTCAGGCCTCCTCGGGTAACAAAACTGCCAGGGCGTTCGTCCCTAGATGTTTCTATGTGAATACTAGCTGTGGGCTTGTTTCATTGGAGAAGCCAAGCACAACCGGCCGAGTGAGAGGCGGTATTTTGGCGGACTGCATGGGTCTGGGGAAAACTGTTCAAGTTCTCGCTCTCATTGCCTTCGGCGAATTTCAGGAGAGGGATCCTAAAGGTGCTGCTTCCTGGTTGGCAGCTTCGGAAGGTGGCTGCGCACGCGACACGGATGCAACTTCAAGTGCAGCGAAGCCAGGCTGCACCGCAGACAAACTCGGAGGGGCTCCCGCTAACGAATCGGATACTTTTGCTTCAGCGCAGCTGTCTGCATCACCAATATCTGTAAGCTCTGACGGCGATGCTGCAGACCTGAAGGAAGTCAATTCAATCGAGCGTCCAAGAGAAGTGGGAAGGGACAGCCTGTTGGCCGTCGATCCCCGCATTCTACAACGCAGCCTGAAACGCGGGAGAGACAATCTTTTGCGAGGTGGAACACTCATTGTTGTGCCGCTGTCGCTTATTGGGCAGTGGTATGCAGAGGTGAAGAGACACCTAGTACGCGGGGTGGCAACGGTCTTGCAGTATTACGGTACTGCGCGTCCAAGAGACCCCAAGCTGCTTGCTGCATACACCATTGTGCTCACGAGCTACCAAACACTAGCATCCGACTTCCGTCAGCTACCTAAGCATATGCAGTCGGAAGGAGGAGGCGTGAATTGTGATCCACGTTCAGTCAGCACACTGGATCTAGGATCCGTCCCAGAAAGCCCCATTGCAAGCATTCGCTTTCGGCGGATTATTCTAGACGAAGGTCACGTCATCAAGAATACCTCTTCGCTCGTAAACCGCGCATGCAATTCTGTGGAGGCTGACTCACGGTAACCTTCCCCTGTCCCCGAGAATGCTGCCGCCTACACTGGACTGCCGCAAAAGCGGTTTGGGATAGGGTGATTCTTGATGCGACTTGGAGTTTTCTTCAGTTGGATATTGACGGGGACGCCTCTGCAAAATGACCTCTCTGACGCATTTGCCCTCGTTCAATTTCTCCGCGTCTCACCCGTGGGTAGTCGAAGGTGGTGGAGGGCAAAAGTAACTCAAGCTATGGAAAAAGGTACGGCCAGCCTTCTGGTTGACTGTACTACGATGAATTCGAATTTCTTGGGCTGACTAAATGACTGTTGAACGTGGACATGTTCTCTTTGCAGGAATGGTGCGGGAGGCGGTCGAAACAGTTCGGAACATTTTAGCTCCGCTGATGCTGCGCCGGCACGGGGACGAACTGGGAGAGGATGGAAGACCACTATTGCCGCTTCCACCGCTCACAATTCACACATTCACTCTACATCTTACCTGTGAAGAGCGTCTGTTCTATCAGGTTAGCTGGAGTTTATACAACCATTCATTTTGCATGTTTGTTCGAACATGGTAAGACTGGGTAACGTAAGCATATCGGGGGTAGTATCCTTTGCACCAGCGGCAGGAAGACAAAAACGACAGTGCTGGTGGTTTGGCTCCTTGCAGACAATTTTTGAACATAGCAAGGCCAAATTTGACCAACTCGTTCAGAGTGGCCAAGTTTTGCAGCATTATACGCATGTCCTTCAACTCCTGCTGAGGCTTCGACAAGCATGCAATCATCCCCTGCTTCCGTCGCACCGTGAACAGCAACGCCGTCAACAGTTCATCGACGCAGTCTGCCCCGCGCAGGACCATCCAAAATATCGCAGCAATGATGGCGTCGAAGTAGTGTTTAACTTGTCCTCCGTAAGTTCTTATATTTAGCTTACATCGTAGCGAAGCCTTGACTTGCATTGTATACCCATTTGTAGGTAGCATGGCAGGCTCGAAAAAACGTGCTCTAATTTCCGCATCGCGGCTGTTTTGCCCACGCACGCTCAATGGCTATTCAGAACGGCCGGGTTCGGATTTTTACTTGCGCACATGTTGGTTGCGTACTTGCTTCATTTTTCACAGTCTTCACGGCCGGCGCCCGATTTCATACTGCAAAAATACATTCAGGAAGCTTTGGAGGGCAAACTTAAAGACTGCCCGGTTTGTCTTGAGCCGCCAGCCGACGCAGTAGTGCTAACAAGTTGCTGGCATGTCCTTTGCGTCAACTGCGTCCTGTTGTTGCAAAATAGTAAAAGCGGCGCAGTAGCGGTTTGCCCAACGTGTAACAGTAAGTTCCTTCATCAGCATGTTCGGCTGCTCCCGTGCAAGCCGAAGGCGTCTACCCAGCAGTGGATTGATGTCGTGCAAAAGAAGCACCGTGAGGCGCTTGCAGCTGCTGGCAACAATAAAGAATCAAAACACGGCAACCAGCTCGCAGCGGAAGAGGCACAGAAAAGGGACAAAGCGTGTTTAGGTGCGGATTTGCATGTTGCATCCCCTACGGAACAAGGCTCTACGCATTTGAATGGGTCTGCTACAGTTTCTGAGGTGGCACTTCACGAATTGTCTGACCACAGCTTTTTCTTTAGTACGAAGATGCGACTACTTCTTGCGCTCTTGGATGCCGATGTTGCGGCTGGAAGGTCTTGCGTCATCTTCTCGCAGTGGACATCAATGCTGGACCTCGTGGAGATGGCATTTGCACGCGTTGAAACCGTTCGCAGCACAGAGCAACCTGATGCCCCAGGTGCTACCAATGATGATGATGACAATGATGTTGTTGAGATGGGAGCCACTCATGCAGTGATAAAGGTACCACAGTTTCTAAGTGGAAATCTAAGCAAGGAGGTAACTAGAGGTGGAAACGCCAGCCCAAACCAACAGGGGACACCAATGAAGCGACTGTACAACTACCGCCGGATTGACGGAACTCTAGGTCTAGAGGCCAGGCAACGCATTATACATTGGTTTTCGGAGGATAGCTTGCATTCGACAGCACGTACAGTAGTTTCGTGTACATCGAGAGCAACCGAGACGGAAGGAGCACCTTTTATGGGTCAATTTAATCTGCAACGTTTCATCTGCACGACACACGGGACTGGCGCTTCGCATAGGGCAGGTGCTCCTTCACCGAAGCCATTCACCACAGGGAAGCCAACCAGTGCAAGCAAATCTGAGGTGGATATTTCCCCTCATCACCGCGGAAAGATACTCTTGTTATCTTTAAAGACAGGGAACGTAGGGCTTAACCTCGTTAAAGCAACACGTTGTTACATCATTGACGGTTGGTGGAACCCTCAGGTCGAGAAGCAGGCGATGAGGCGCCTCTGGCGGTACGGACAGGTGGGCCATTGCCTATTTCAAACCCGTTATCGAGACTTACTTAATTTCTATCCAGTGCCGTAGCTCTTGCCCTTGGTTTCGTTCTCAAAACGCGAAGTAGAGTGATGCTTCTCGACACTGTCGTTCCAATGTGTCCATCCTTGGCTTTGCTACACTCGAATCTGTGGCTGCTATCTCCTGCCAGGATCAACCAGTTTCTGTCTACCGCTTTGTGTGCGCTCGAACTGTTGAGGAGCGGATGGAGGAGCTGATTAAGTGGAAAGGCCATCTTTCGCGAAGCACGCTTCGCTTCGGCAATCATCCTGATGGGGAAAGCTCAGTAGATCCGGAGGAAGCCGACGCTGACAAGAGGAAAGGACATCTCTCCCTGCAAGACCTTAAGAAGCTGTTTGAAGGCTGGGAAACCGGCCCAGGTTCTGCATAGAACCTTCTACGGAGATGATACAGCTGCCTTTTTTGACGGTTGTGGCCCCGATAGTCGCTTTGGGGCATAGCAACGAGGTCGCACTTGAGGCAAAATACCGAATGATTTTTAAGATTCCAGAGCTGCTTGTGGGTCCGATATATAGAGGTATATATATATATATATATATATATATAATAT